TGAAGTTATGACTTACTTACGATCTCGATTTAAACTTTTACGAAGAATAGTCTCCATTTAGCCCGGATTGCCAGCTTTATGGGACACCCCATATAATACAGTTTTACACTAGCCTCGACCACCTGATCACAGTGGCTGAGCTAAAGAAGACAAGCGTTTCTCCGAGGATTTGAATCGCCGCGTTTAAATCTGAACCTAGCATTATCCGAACGTTTCAACGCGCAAACATTTTGTTTGAACAAACGGTACACGCCACATACACCCGACGACCCGGCACGAATAATGCCCGCCATTTGAATAATTCGTGATTCAAATATGACGCGCTATTCTAAAGAGATTAGGGATCATTAAATATTGCATTAAGTCTAGTTAAATTATTATCGACGAACGTGAACGCGCGCGTTTTGAAATTGAAACGGAACAATTCCACGTCTGTTTCGATTCAACCGAGTTATTAATTCGAGCAACATTTCCAAAGCAATATTCTTCAATTTTATCTGAAACAGATAATCCTAAATCAAATCTACACCAAAGTTATCGTTCACACTAAAAACTGTGGGTACAATTCCAACAGTTAATTCATAAGAGACACTCTCACGAATTCCAGAAAAAGCGACCTATTTCATGCGCGCAGAGTCAAAGAAAGTCCGGGAAAGTTTTCGTGTGGATGGTAGAAAAATTCGCGCGATATACAACTTCGTGGAATAATGTCAGCGAGGGTGGTCCTCGAGTAGTCGCGAACGGAACTTGAGCGTGGCTGCCGCGTATACATATCTTCAACAACGCGCAGTTAATGCCTCGAAAAACAAACGTTCGGACGGGACATAGAGTATTGCGTGCCACCGTATTCGCGAGTTGAAAACTACAAGCCTGAACCTTGCAGAAGTGAAGTTCATCGAGGCGTGAAACGTTTAAACGCACCTTTCTGTTTAGTAATACTTTCAATATATCACAAGGACGCATCTAAGAATCGAGTTCCTACAACTTTCCGTATACCACAGCGTGATCAGTTCCGAAAAAGCAACCCCAGAACTCTTCTCCTCCATTGGCTAAGCTAGCAGAATTTAAAGCGAACAGGCACGAGAACGAAAGGCAAAAGCCTCTTGTCGCGTACTCAAGAAAGCGAAACTCTTTGCAGTACCTGCGCGCCCATGGTGATCCTCTTATCGAGCAGCCCGTCGACTCCTACTCGGACCGTTCATCCGTGAAGTACGGCCCTGTAATAAGGGCGAGAAGATATGCCTTTAAGGAGCTTATCGCGAAAAGGACCTCCTTCGTCTCTCCTCCTCCAGTTTCTCGGTCTACTACATCACCCCTTTTGCTCCATGGACCAGTCTCCTCCTCCGCCTCCTCCCTCCCCCATGCCACCCTCGGGAATATTAAACAACCGATAGCCTCCGTCGATAGCTATAATACACAGTTTCATCCTCGGAACTACTTTGTTCGGGATCGATGGATGCTCCGCGCGAGTATTGGTCGCGACATCGAGCCGGTGATTTTCCAGGCGGAAGTAATGGTATCGAAGAGGACGAAAAGCGACTGACAGAAGGAAAAAAAGATAGTATTGAGAACGTTTGACGAACGGTGGCTTAATTAGCGAGTAATTAGGGCCAGGCTCGAGTCGCGGGAAAACGATCAACGCTCGCTTGTCACAAAGGCTTCCAGCATAAGAGGATTTCGTTAGACGGCCGGCGTGAATTGAACGTCCGCCGAATCGGAGACAGTATTCGGAGGTATCGCGTAATCAAGTTCCCGGGCTGGTTAAATTTGAAACGCGGAGTTCCGTCGAGTTCTGGAAGACGAACGTTGCGCTGACAGTTAACTGCTGAAATTGTAACGTTACACGAGTGTCGATTTAAGTAAGTATTAATACCCCGTGGAGTTTTAAATAGAGTATGAGGACATAGCTTTGTTTAGAGAAAGTGTAAGTTTCTTAGAATATAGTTTTAAGTAGAAAGCTGAAAATGTGTCTGATAGTTATGATCATAGTTGGGTAAGAAGATGAAAGAATTCTGAAGGTAAATCTTACAGATGAATCGTTAGCTCGTTTAAGACATTTTCAAACAAGGAGATATTTCGTTGTTTTAATAGAGTAGAAGACTTGTATATTTTTCAAAAAATACATATAATTTATCAAGCTTTTTAAAACTTACAATTTTTCCCCAGAGGAATTTGTTCGTACAAATTCTCTAGACGAGAGGTCCTCGATGATCCACGATTAAAATTAACAAGCCAACTTCGACAATAAAATCACCACTCTAATTATCCTTCCACACTGCCTCAGGCGTCGAAGCATCTAAATTCTCTCACCGACGAGATCAAGCGGTAGAAAACAAGACGAGACCGAAATCAGCCGACAAACGAGGCATTTATAAGGATACTTTTTGCAATAAGGGACGAACAAAGAAGTTATTTAAGCTGCTAATTTACAGCAACTCGACCTGCATAGCTAACCAACCGGCCAGACGGCAGCGTCGGGGCTGGAAAAATAAAGCGGAGGCGGACAGAAGTTGGCGAAGGAGATCGATCGTCCTGTGCACGACGCAAGAAGACACGCGCAAAAAGAATAATTACGCTAATGAAGGGAGCGCGATGTAATTAAATGCAACGACGACCGAACCGATGGACCGTGTCGTCGTCACGGCCGGACGCAAAACGACGAAACGCTTTTTATCGCTAACCGTGAAACGCCCTTTGACCAAGGGGCGAACGCCAGCACCACTACTGGCTACCAGCAGGGGAAAAGTCGGGTAATACTAATTTCCATTTCGCCTCTGTCAAGTGTTGCTCCACTAATGCACGGAAACCCACCGATTCCCTGCGCCAGCCTGTTAAAGGTCGACAGAGTTGTGACATGAGGGGGGTTCCTTGTACCTTAGACGTGACAACGTGTCTCGTTCGATGACACCAAGAGATCTATCTACAATTGTCTCTCACTCGCTCTCATCCTCCCTACTACACTTAACGCCACGAGAAATTCATGGAATTAATCAAGATGTCTGGCAAATGATCAATAATTAACACGAAATATGAGAGGACAAAGTTTTTTATAATTTACCTAGGCATGAAAATCACAGTTGCTATGACATTCGTATATATATATCTGTGTAAAATTTGATTGAAATTTAGTTAAATGCAAGGTTTTTCTGCAACCTTTGTGCATCCAAAATGAGGTACTACGAAACTAGAACATTTTAAACTATTATTCAAGAATGTGGATTCACCACCTTACAGTCCGGATTTTTATTCAAAATTATTAATCTTAGGGGCACAAGACTTTTCTGAGTTTCTCAGAAAACGAGTACGAGCATAAAAGATAGTTTTGCAGAAATATAGAATTTTTCAATGTTACATAGATTACATAAAAATTTCCCCTCGTAGGTAACTCGCTTAACTTGACTGCTTATTCTCAAATTGATATTTCTTGCTTTCGTACTTTCTCGTGAACAACTTTTCCTTTCAAAGATTTTTCTTATCTAGTGTTTAGCGTTTTCGACTACAGAAAAAGATCGACAGCGATCTTGGACCGGTTCGATCGACGAATATACAACGTGTGTCGGTTGTCAATCGCAAAACCGCTTATCCATCACGATACGACCGGTTGCCATTGTTGCGACCGATACGAGGGCTCCTGCGAATTTCACACCGCGATCCCTCCTGCTTGATAAGTACAGAATTACGAGCCGATACGCCGCGTTTCTCTTCTCGTCCCGTCGTTAAAGTCTCGTATACTTCCGACCATCTTGCGTGACTAGCATAACACCCGTTTCGAAGCTTCGCGGTCGTCTGGCTCACCACGAGCTACACATAAACGCCGTAGACGGGGTTAAGGACCGATTATCGAGCGAAAGAACAGTGAAAACGGTTCATGACGTTGACTGACGAGACACGAAGGAAACGAAAAGATGAAACGACCATCCAGGGCTCGCGCGAAACGGGATGGTAAGTCGAAACAACGAGCGTTCGAGGATCTAGGATCGTGAATAGTGTTCGCCGAAATTACGGAGAAAGTTAAAGACATCATTTCATACACTAATATACTGTATAGTGAATATTGCAACACCCAAAGGGAGGGGAGTGTTTGTAAACTTGTAAAATTTCCAATAACAAGGGATAGAAAATCTGACTAAAAGTAGTATAAAAATCGTACGTTTTATGATGGTAAAAGTTCCATATACTAATTCCTACACTGATTAACCCCTAGACGACCGTGAAACAAAAAATTCACTGTGCGGACAGAGGCAAGAAACACTATAGGAATGAAACGTTATGGGGTAGATTTCAATCTTATGTCTATCATTGTGTTTATATTTTACAAATAAATCATTGAACGGACAGTTCAAACAATTCGTATTATGGTATCGCTGTTTATACAGGGTGCTCCAGCAATTTGGTAAAAACTGCAATGGTATGATTCCTTATGAAAAAATAAGTCGACATGAGGCTTCGTTTTCGAGAAAAAATATTTTGAAAATCGGTTAGGTACGGCTGCACTAAGTATAACAAAAACTGTAACATACTACAAAGAATACATAATAATTTAGTTCGCAGGGCGCAGCTCTAAAATGAGTCTCATCATCATTTACGAAACCATACTAATCACAGAAAATGAAAGAGACTGATAATATAAACCGATATCAAGATAATAGAAATGATAAGAAGTAAATTATGACATTACCCGTGTTTACACGTACAAGCACGAGCAGAAACAACCGTCTGTACAGAAATCTGTCAGTTCGATAAATTTTCAAAGTCCTTTTTCTCGAAAACGAAGCCTCATATGCAAAAACTATATCGTGCAATATCGACTGGTTTTTTCATAAGAAATCATCCCCTTCCTAGTTGTATCACGATTGCTGGAACATCCTGTATAAATAGAATGAAAAATTTAGGCGATCGTCAAGAGTTTAAAAATTATTCTACACTATCCCTGATTTCACCGAATACCACACGCGTTTGTAAATGCTCGAACGCTCGACACCCTTCGTTACAGAGGGGGGGATTACAAGGAGGAAGATAGGTAGACATGAATCGGTTCAAGTCTGAGCTGTGCCGCTGGATTTCTGCACTATCTGTATCTCGGGGTGTTTCTGTTTAATATGACCCTTTAGGTTATCCAGCCGGGTCCTACGGCAGCCGCACAGCGGGCACACATAATTTCCTGGATTGTGCGTCAAGTAATGATTCTTTAGATTCGACACGACCCGACCGCATAGTTTGCATTTGCTAGTGTACGTGTACGGCAGCTTTTCGAAAAAGTCCGACAGATTAACTTTCTCAATGTACGTAATCGGCGCGCACTCAGTGCCCTGAGGGGTTAAAAGTGTCGTATCTGCAAATAGAGAAAAGTCGTGTGTGAAAAACGGCCATCGACGTGATTCGATCCGGAGAGACCGCCTCACTCCGTTACCCCTGAGCTCTTTTCTTTTCGCTTTGATCAGATTCACTCTACTAGGGAAGGGTTACATATAGGTAGCGACAGCGTGTCCGTGTGTATGTTTCGTTAACGTATTCGTGTGTCTCTCTGTATATGTGCGTGTTTGCATAGTAGAGCACGCGAGCACAGAGAAAGATCGATGCTCGATTATTAGATGTCATGCACTGTCGATAAAAGAGACCGGTCGCACGTTACATATTACACACGGTGATATCATAGCTGTTTATTATATTATATATATATATATCCGTTATATCGATTATTGATTAGTCGAGTATTGTACTTTCAATGGAAAGGCACCATAAAAAAAACCTCTATAGAAAAGTCTGTTCTTTGCAACAGCCTTCGGACCTCAGAGACTAGTTCATAATGACTATTTTATCGAGCTACGCCGGCCCACGAGAATCAGCGTTTCGTTCTTTTTTTTTTCTTTTTTTTTTGGTATTTTCTTTTTTTTCTCTCTTGTTTTTTTAATAGGCGTATAAATAGTTACTTAATACTGATCTCCTCTCTTCACCTGCGGAAAACAAGACAGCCATTACGAGATACAAAGTTGCGCGTGCTGCATGCACCAGCACATCAGGCATGGAACTGGATGAAATACTCTTAGAATACGGCGCCGTTTCGTTAGCCCGCCGCTCCCGCGTTACGAGCAATTTAGAGAGGAATTTCCTTACGGCTTGGAAATCATCCTCTCGCCTCGGAAAAGCGGCCTGTGCAACGTTTTGCCGGCCAAAGTATCGCTGCTCTTATGCAAATCTAATCAAAGGCAATATCTCGAGGTTTCTCCTGTCGACGGAAATGAACGTGTAGCCGTGCAGACCCGCCAAGTGCGCTCTCTGCTAAAACTCAGTTCCATGCGCAGCGTGTATGTAGAAGGGCAGCAGCAACGGTGACGGCAATTTTCGTTTGGGGTAAGGGAAAGGGAAAACCTTTCGTTCGGTACGTAAACATTTCGAAACTTGGCGTTTTCGCTTGCTCGAGAGGAAAAGCTTCAATCCTCGCGTGTACACGCGAACACGACACGCGCGGGAGGTAGTATTCTACGAACACGATTAGGAGACACTCTTTTTTTTCACATAGTTTCCTCTTTGTACTCGAAATTGACTCTGTGAGATCTCGTAGGGATCGCCTGAATTCTACGGCAAACACTGGTGCAAGGAATAATTACCGGTCGATTCTTTTGTGAACGACCCGTTTCTATTCGGACGCTTACTTAATTTAATAGTAGTAGTAGTAGTAATAGTAGTAGTAGTAGCAGTAGCAGTAGCAGTAGTAATAGTAGTAGTAGTAGAGTCCTTAAATATTAAAACTAGGTGAATAGACGTACGACAATAAATAGTTGAATTTTCCTTAGGGGAATAATTTAAAGAAACAAGGAAAGCGAAGAACACGATTAAAATTAATCCGAGCGAACTTCACACATCACTCGCTAATAGAAATAAGGTAAATGATTGCCGAGATTACAAGACAGTCACGACGAAGAGCACAGCTTGAACGTGATTCGCGCACTCTGGCTGTGTCACGGAATGCGAGAGCAACGCGAGAGCTTTACGTGACAATCTCGGGTTCAGTTTTCTCTGTTCGACGATGTCCGCCTATTGCTCTTATTTCTTCGATGTCCTATGAGTGTATATATATGTGTGTGTGTGTGTATGTAGAAATATAGCTGAACACATGATTTTGCCCACGTTTTGCTATTACTCTTCGTCGTTCGTTTCGCGGGCCCGTAAATGTAAATAATTCTAGGTGAGGTAAGCCGGTTCCGATTTCGCTAAAAAGTGTTTGTGCTCTAAACGCATAAACGGCGATATCAATGATCCCTCTCGTATCCCATGCTTCAATTTAATATGCCTTTTCAAATTGTCAGATCTCGTTAACGATATCATGCAGATCTGGCACTGATATTTATCGGGAAAATGTGATTTCATGTGCTTTTTTATGTTCGCTACGCTCTTGCCGCAGAGCTTACAACACTCCGTACCGAGGTTGGAGTGTTCTAACTTCGACTGACTGTCTTTATTTATATCCTTCTCTTTTTTGCAAGTTCCTGATGTTCCTGGAATTACAAGATCCCGTTTCAATTAAGTTAGTTAGGTCACTATTAGAATTACCGACAATCTCTACCAGACTCATGATAAGATATATAGATCTATGTATATGGAGTATATATAGACGTGTATATAACTCTCATAAAAGTCACACTTCTACGATCAAGTCAAAGAGGTTGCAGAAAAGAGGGGATTCTCTCAATTCAATATTACGATGATATCATTACGAAACACCACACTCGTATATATGCATACAGGGTGGGGCAAAACCTTTGTCCACCTGGAATACTTCCGTTATTTGTAATAATATGGAAAATGTTATATTCAAAACATCCATGATATGGAAGGAGACATAATGTTATGTAAATACTTTTTACATGGTTCAACGTTTTTCAAAGATACCTCAAGGCCACCTTCATCTTTTTAAATGGCAAGCTATATTTTTTCATTCCTAGTAGAATAGCCAATGTTTAGACGATTTCAACGACGTCTAATACAAGATCGTTCGATAATAAATAAAGGAGTAAAGCAATCAGTCTTACATCATAAGAAGTGCTCAAAGTGGTGTCCGTCTATATCGGCGCAATGCTGGAATCATCGGATTACCGAAGCCCGTATACTTGTTACCATTTCCGGATTGATTGTAACATATGCTGCAATGATTCTTTGCTTCATATTTTCTAGTGTTGAGGCTTTTCCTACTACACAATATGTTTTAATACGTCCAACACGTATTTATGTTTCCAACACGTCCTGCCCACCCCTTCGGGAAGATCCTCCTGAGCGTAGCTCATACTATATGTACAATACATATATAATGTGCGGAGCACCATTGATATCTTTCTTTGGAGAACATTAAAAAATATTGGGTACCAGAAAAAACTGAAAACGTCAGAAGATATGAGGCAAAGAATCATTGTAGTATATCGTACAATTAATCTGGAAATAACAAGTGTACGTACTTCAGCAATCCGACGATTCTAATGTTGCGCCGATGCTAACAGTCACTAATTCAAGCATCTCTTATGATGTAAGACTGGTTACTTTACTCCTTTATTATCGAAGGACCTTGTATTGCAGGTCGTTGAAGGCATCTAAACATCCGTATCCTACTAGGAAAGAAAAAGTATAACATGCCATTTGGAAAAATGGAGTAGACTTTGATATCTCCTTGAAAACCCTTCATCCACGTAAAAAGTATTTACATCGTATGATGCCCCCCTCCACATCATGCAAGTTTTGTATATAATAGTTTTCCATATTATTACAAATAACGAATATATTCCATGTGGACAAAGTTTTTGCCCCATCCTGTATATAAAACATGTCTAGAGATGCCTACTCGTAACTAAAAGATATAGATGTATAAATAAAAATGTTCATGTCACGTAAAGGAAAAAAGAAGCGCACACCTACAATCTTATAATGTATCATTGTCCAAAATTAATAACAATTCAAAACGCAAAGCTCGGGCACAACACGTCGTCACACAACCGAAGAGAACAAACCAACATTGAGGGAGGGGGGAGGGGGGATACAAAGGAAAAAATAAGACAGAAAGAGAGAGAGAGAGAGAGAAACAATAAAGAAAAACTGCAAAATAACAAGAGGTACCGAAAAGTAAAATAAGAGACTTCCGTTTAAAAAGGATCAACGCAAGCGGAAAAACCCTGGTAAAGAGAGCTGCTGATAAATGCAATACTTCAACGAGACAAATGCTCATATTTGTAGAGAAAAGTGTTTCTTTTTTCTTTTCTGTTGAGTTATCAAAAAGTGCCGCTACTACTTTATTCGTCGACGTTTATATACGTTGACACACACGCGAGATGCATCGCGAAAAGATATCAAAATTCACGTAACGTTGCTAGAATAATAAACATAGAATACTTCGTCTATCCTTTGCTACTTAACGAACAATGATATAAATTAATCAGTAACAAGGACGATAACAACAACGACGACGACGACGACAACGACGACGACGACGACGACGACGACGACGATGATGACGACGACGACGACGACGACGACCATGACAATAACAGTAACGACAACGACAACAACGACGACGATGACAACGATGGTATTCAGCAAGATCGAGAGCCAACAGGTTCCAAAATGGTAAACGGACTGTTAATTTAGCAACAAAATTCTTTTGCTCTCTGACTAAAAATGCCGGAACAAGCAACGTGCTTCCGGTAGAGACTCTTACGAGGAAAGTTGCTTCGAAAATTATCACGGTTATCATCAGAAACGATCGCATTACGTAACTCGCTTTGCTACCGAACCGGTGTGACGTTTCTATTCGATTCATCAAACACGTATATATATGCATAACCAGAACGCAGCGCGCGTATCATATTTTGTTGCTACTATTTCCGTTTACTCTACGTATACTGCGATATAGGTTAAAACAAACAGCGCAAGAGAGACACGTGAGAATGTAAGATTAAGATCGCTAGTTACGGTTATAAATATATATATATATATATATATTTATGTATATATGTTTACACATACGTACATATATACATGTAACAAATGTACACATATATACGTGTATGCATGTTTTCGTTTATAAATAAATTTATATCTATACACACACACGTATATACATTTGTTCACACACGCAACTAGACACATTCGACGCACGCACGCACGCATTCACGCGCACGTTTGTACTGAATTCCGCTATTTTTCTCACGCACACAATAATCTACCGGTAGATGTGCATGTGCGTAATGTATATGGAAGCGTGTATACGTGTGTATATATGTGTGTAAATGTATACGTGTAGAATAGCAGATACAAAAACGCAACACATACAGGACCATGTACGCGATCATCGGCCAAACTGTCTAAAAAAAAAAAAGGGAAAAAAGAAAAAAAAATCAGACAAACAGGAGTACTGTCCATTTGCTGATACCAACAGAGAAAGAATGTCCACTTTGCCGATACCACTTCCCAAAAAACCAACTGTGTTTTGTTAGAAATATATTTATATGTACTTCCTATTGTATCATTAACACACTTACGGATCTGTAACTACCACATAGTGACATAGCAAATGCACGATACCATCACCACAACACCAACGATGAATATTGTGTCATCTATGCCCATATATACATATACATATATATATACGTATATATGTATATATAATACACGAACACACACGTCTTTGGTCCATGTATGTACATATATATACATGCACATATATATACATATATATACACATATATATACACACACATATATATACACATATACAGGATACGTCGTAGCAAAGAAAGTTGTTCGTGTTTTCTAAAAAGAGGTTACCACTCACTACGCTTGCCAGACTTGGAAATAGAGGGATGCTCGCTTCGTACGCCTATGTACGACTCGACGCGCAAAAATTCTTGCAAACGTGCATGCACATCTCCCTCGATTTCTTAGATCTCGCGTATTTCCGCCGCTCGCCGCCATTACTTTTTTGTTACCTCGAATTCACGCGTAATATCCAAAAAAAAATTTCCAAAAAAAGAAGCCTGTTGCCAAGAATTGCAACCGAAATACAGTCACGAAAATCAACAAAAATATTATTTTGAAAGGTTATCGACTATATCAACAGTGTTCGAACGAGCCAAGGGAAACATGTGAAATCTAAATGTAATTTTGATCGTAATGATAAATATTTGTTGGTCTTACCATCAAGTCCGTCGAGCATTTCTGGGGGATTATGGTGTTCAGACGATTCAATTCCTGACACGCCATCGCTTAGCGTGCCTGTTGTAGCTCCTCCTTCTTCTCCTAGCAGTCCAACTGGATGACCCTGCACACGATGTGATTATACATTATAAATACAACTGCCGAAAGTAATAATTCGCGGTTCTTATCTACAAATTTCATTGCTACGTGAAACATATGCTACTTTGTTGCTATCATTTTCGCGTACTTGACACCGCAACAAGCAACGATTAGATAGAAGAAAAAAGAAGTTTTAATTAATTTTCGAACGAGAATCAAATATGTTTATCTGGAAACGTAAAATTAAAAAAAAAAAAAAAAGGCAAAAATAATTGACTTGTATTAAGATATTACCTATTTTTAAACGATTCTCTCTCTTTTTCTTTCTTTTTTTAATTTTTTTAAATAATATACAAAAATGCTCTATACTTATATAAATATAAATCTATTTATGCATGCAAATAATGAAACGGAATTTATAACAGTCGTGTTTTATTTACTATTTACATCGTGAATAATAACAGATGAAGGGAAAAAATAACTTGTCTTATCTATATGTTTTATATATGACAAAATTAGCATACTTTATAACAAGAACATTCGACTTTCGTTTACATTCCACGTGAAAAATGTTCATCATAGAAGCACATTACCACAGAAATGCTCATGCTTTGGCAATTCGTTTCTTTCTAACAATATTTCAAGGTTAACAACGTACGTAAAAAATTTACAACTTTGTAAATATATATTACATAAACATATTGTGTTTGGGAACAGGTGAATATAAATTTTAATATATCTATGTTCACTCTGTAAAAGCGCGAACTCTTATGCGTTAAATATTAGATGTGTTTCGTTTAAAAAAATATATGCAGTTGCGGTCATTAATTTCCGGGCACTTTTAGAACAGTATAACTTTTTTGAAATTGGACCAAACGATTAGAGTTTCTTTTTAGAAGTTAGAAGGATTAGTTCACTAGATGACGTGTACCAAAAATGTTGAAAAAATTGTAATTTGTTGGAATCGCGAAGAAAATTGTAAAGGTCACTGTTTACAACTCTTTTACCTGAGCTTGCTGTGAAAATTTGAAACATACGTTTTGTAGATTTATATCAATTATATATGTACATGCTGAAAATTTCATTGAAATCGGATGATGCAGAAACGAACGACAGGCATCCAAAGATGTAAGAATGAAAACAGAGATTTTTACACAATTTTTAACCGTTTATAGCTCCTAGCAACGTTAAACGATTTCGATGAAATTTTCAGCATGTATATAATTGACATAAATCTACAAATCGTATGTTTCAAATTTTCACAATAAGCTCAGATAAAAAGTTTGTAAATAATGACCTTTACAATTTTCTTCGCGATTCCAACATATTACAATTTTTTCAACATTTTTTGTATACGTCATCTAGTAAACGAATCCTTATAACTTCTAAAAAAAACTTAAATCGTTTTGGTTCAATTTAAAAAAAGTTAGACTGTTCTAAAAGTGCCGGAAATTAATGACCGCAATTGTATATATGTATATACATATTTCTTCGGTCGCAACATTAACTCTGTTGCATTCGAATAATTATTGCATTTTAACAAGATACATCAAACAAATATCTAAGTAATCTATTGTTTTTATAAAATTCTTTTATCGTGTAACACTTACTAAAATATCTAAAATTTCAAACAAAAATTAATCGAATAATTTTAGCATATGCTTTGTGCTTTGCGCTTGGAATAAAAAAGATAAAAGGTTTAAGAATTAAAAGATTATTTATAGAAGATGACAGAGATAATTATACCAATATAAAGTATTACAAAATGTTATAATAACATTAAAATTAAAATTCTTAGTTCAATCAAAAATATAAAATGTGTATAATATTGCATACTAAGTGCATCACTATTTTCCGAACTCCACGTGCTGGATCAAAAATAGATCGTACGAACTTCGTAAAAGAGGTATAAGACCAACAAAAAAAATATACTGAATTAATTGATTTGTTTACGGTAATGAAAATTTTTAAAAACAAAATATGAAGAAGGCACATTTTCTAACTTGTGTTTATACATTCTGCATTACAGAAAAAGTATTATTTGAACATATAATTAATATTGAGTATAGTATAGGAAGATAGAGTATATTAAAGAGCTTTCCAAAATACTATGGTATGAACATACCTTTGACAAGAAACGAGTAACATACATTCATATCTTTTGAAATCATGGTATGCCTAACAGTATTTGCACAATCTTAAATAATTATGAACATACGTGCAAATATGGCGTTATATTAACTGAAAGTGAAAAATGTTTATAAACATTTTTTCACAGCAAACAAAACTTATTTTGCATGATAAAGATAATCTGTTAATTATTGAAATAGGTTGAAGCTTAGTTGAGCAAAGTTAATCACAAATCAGCTGCGATTAAGATGCAATTATAACGTAGAATCAACAGGTTTCCATGATATAAGTATAACTTTGTTTTGCTTCGCTCTCTTTAGCAACGCACAAATTGTGAGCTTTGCACTTATCATGATGATTCACAATTTCAAGTCTAAAATTACCATTCCCTGCAGCAAATGAAGTCCGTATTTCAGGTATTGAATCACTCCACTTCCTACAGTATTTACAAAACATCAGATTTGATCTTTTATCATACCGAAGCCAAGAATACATATCCAACCAACCAATTTTGAATCTACCAGTTTTTCTACTTTGAGAAATAGAGCGTTGCGAAATATTGCATAAAGTTGATTGAAGTACTGACATACTATGCTGTGGATTCATAATTATTGACCTGTATAGATCATTGTTATTGTAAGACTTTTTAGCATTTATGTTGCTTTCTGACAGTGAACTGAGTAGAGAATTTAATTCTGCGCTATTGCTTTTGGACAAATTTGATTTCAAAGACATAGATTGATTTTTCAAAGGTTTGTAAGAATTTTCGTAACGATCGGATGTAGTTCCTGACATATTGATAGACAGAGAACCTCCAGCCATGATAGTGCTTTCGCAAGAAACTTGTATCACAGCGGGATCTGGTTGATTTTGGGTCATGTTCTGTACATCCATAGTTTCGTCACTCTTCCCATGTCTTTGAACTTCCCACTCCACACTAGTCTGTCAACAGAGAAGGAAAGGATATGTGTTTAATCAACACATCTTTGATTTTGTCTTTTAGCATATAAGAAGCCAATTTTGTATCTCTATTTAGACATCCCTTCCTTCCCATGTTTCATTGGACTGAGTAGTTGTAGGAAAATAGTAGAAAATCATTAATTTGGGAACAGTAACGAAACTTCATATATTTGCCATATTCTGCTTGATACATCGCATGATTTTATGGATAGCTTAGAAGCTATGCGTGAAAAATTAATTTAATAAAATAGATTAATTATAAAATGCAACAGCAAAATAAAAGAATAACATGCTGAAATAAAAGCAGTATATAACACAAATATAATTAAATGAATATACATTAATATTAAAATTTACATCATACTAAAACTATACTTTTAATTGTCACAAATTCTAAAAACTAAAGTTGCTTAAATGATAACTAATT